CGTCCCAACATTTCAACTTCATTTTTCATTTTTGCCAGGGCAGCAGGACCTGGTAACCGTTTCCGGACCAGAAGCCGCAGCCTCTGACATTCTAATTCTAACTTGGCAATTTTTTTGGTACTCTCTAATCCCTCTCTGGCATGTGAATGATTTCGATCTGTTTGACTTTGATTCAAGCAGAGGCTTTGGTGAGTGGCGCCGATGGAAGGAAGCAGAGGGGGAGGGAGGAGAAGATCTGGTTCTAGTCAAAACATCACCACGTGACCTTTCAATTTTAGTGCACAATGTCACGTCAGTAAATGAAAAAATCCAGCTCACATCAATTTAACGCCGTCTCACACCACTTAACGGTTATGGTACAATGTGCTCATTTTTACAAAAAATATGATCCAATTGAGACAGAAAAAAAGATGATGACCAAACTGAGATTTCCATACAAACTTGAGGACCAAGGGAGGGTTTAAACCTTTTTAAAAAATATCAATTTTTAAGTCAGGGTTTGTGACTTAAGATAAATAATATTAAAAAAAAATTATTATGAGAAAATTATTTGATAATAACAATTCAAAATTTATATGCTAGTTTAAATGAATAATTTGCGTTAATAATATAAACATGCATTTATTTTTTTAATATAATAGTAATTATCTTTTCATTATTGAAATAAATCAACTTAAAATTTTAAAAACACAAATATTACTCAATAAGATTATAAGAAGAATTTACTAATTCAAGTTAAAAAAGAAAATACTGATCATAAAGTATACAAAAAAAATTTATTCAATAAAAAATACATTAATTAATTGAGTTTAGTAGTTTATATAAAACTTATTAAATAAACTAGTAGAAACACATAAGCGTGTTCACTTTTTTTATTATAGTAAAAGTTAATTAAACTATAAAATATTTTTTATTAGAAATAATTAGAAAATTAAATAATTTAAGTAATTATTTTTATTATATAAATAGTTTTTTTTACAATGATTATTTGAATTTAAAAAAATAGTTATCAAAAAGATACATTTGAAAATAATTTTTTATTTTGAATAATTATTTTTATTTAAAAAAGTGTTAAGTAAAGGGTAAAACTAAAAAAGAAAATGTAAATAAAAGAATAATCTTCTTTGTATAATAGAAAAGATAATTTTAAAAATTAAAATTTCTTACAATTTTAGTTTTACTATTTTTTTGTGTAAATTTATATCCCTAGATAACTAAAGTCTGACTTAATTTTATAATTACTAAAACAGAGGTTAGAGATTGAGCACCAAGAACCCGAATTCACTGTAAAAATAAGGTTAAAAAGATTGTTTTTCAAAGAGATTAAATTTAGCATTCGATTTCCCACCACACTCTTTCAATGGTAAACTTATTTATTTTACGACAGAGACAGTTAAAAACATATTGAGCAGATTGTCGTATCTATTCCAAAAACTAGCTAAATTTTCATATAAACATGGGCGACAAGAATATCATACAAAACAATAAGAGAAACTCTAGGTTTGTACATGTTCATGGTTTAAGAAAACTATAAACACACTTTCTGATTCATCAAATAAAGAGTGTATCAGAATGTACATTGCTGTCATTCTTCTCACAATTTTTGTGTGGCTATGTATGTATATTCTTTTAAGCAATAAAAACATCATAGAATCTCATAACTTGATAAGTTGCTACTATGTATGGTACACCCCCTTTACAACTCACTCCCGCAGTGGCACAATCAACACATATACTATTACCAGGATTTGAAGACACTGAGGAAAAAACACAGCTTGAAGATCAAGAGTAGCAAAGTAAAACAGCAAAAAATGGTAGCCTGAAATAGAACTAGCAATATTCATCTCCTAGCCAATTATCCTTCTCCTTTGGACCTGTTGGCCCCTCCTCACCATAAAGCTCTGTTGGAAATAGTTCAAATAAGTTCTCCACAGAAAATCTAACAAATAGTGGAAGCATATCTATTATCTTGTCTATCTCAGAACGTGAATCGTATACAATTGTAGGACCCCACTCTCTCATATACTGCAACCAACATGGTTCTGTGATCACTCCTTCACCGAGATACTCAGCTGCAACAACCTCATATTTGATGCTTGAATCCACAATAAATTTGCTTTTAGCTGCGTCATTGCGTACTCCTATTCCTAGTTTGGATGGTCCTTGAAGGTAAGTCCCAGAATGAGGGAAACTAGCATGCCCATCTTTTGATGAATAAACAATAGGCTTATTTCCCTTGATAAATTCCAGATCAAATGCATTTACCCATTGACCTCCACTATGCTGAGAGAAGAATACAGACCATAGTTCTCCACTGAAGTTGCTTATACGAAGGGTGAAGTGCTCCCAGTCACCTACATGTTCACCTACCTTCCCCATCTCAATGTTCATAAGTGCCACTTTAAGGGTTGCAGGTCCATTGAAGGGGCAAAAAACCCACATCACAATATCAGTAAAGGCTCCTCCCAAGGCCGGTTTTACATGAACATATAGTTCTGCACTCTCTATGTTTCCCTTCTTTAGATTGTTTCTTGCATCTTCATCAGTAGGCAAGTCAATCCAAAAGGCACCATCACTAGTTCCTCCACTGGGTAAATTTGAGCCCCCATACTCTATAGCTTTACCCTTGCTACTGCCTGCAGTATACAAAACTGCACCATTCTTGAAAAACCATTGCACTGATGATGGCAAGTACTTCTCATCAGGATGAAAGTACACGGTGGGACCATAATGCTGAATTAGTGCATGAATCTGGTTCTGATTTGGCATTGCGTGCAAGGAAGAATCAAGATTTTTCAGGCACGCAATATCCACCACTTGTTCAGAATCAAAATAGGCACTACCACAGAAGAATGTCCCAACAGACACACCTCTAGCTAACATACCCCTATCACAGGGTTCTGTATTCCAAACCTGAAATACATTTTTTGCATATTTTGACTTTATAGTCAGTAATAGATCAGAAGTCTCACAAGTTTCGGTGAGATCAGCTCGCATGCATCTAACTTCTTCAACTTCAGGTTCATTAGGACTGCTAGTAACCACTATGCCCATGGCTTTGTAACCAGTTGGAGGGTTTGGCAGCCAAAAGTAAACACATTCATCATGTGAATCAATGCTCCATATCAATGAGTAGCCAAGTGGTTTTTCTAGAGCAGGAAATTCTAACACTGAGGCATTAGTTTCCCGTGCCACAAGAACATATCCTCTCAATGGTTGGTCATTAGACTGGCAGTAGTGACCAAGGCAAAAAAAGCCTTCTGAAATTTCCAAAGGTCTATAAAATGTGAAACCCAACGATTTCCCACGCAAAGTTGTGCATCTCCAGACCTTCTCAAGCTTGTCTGCTTTTAAAACTTCTATTTCTCCGAGGCATATTCTTCCACTTGCAAAACTACCACCTAACCAGATCATTCACAGGTATTGAAGCCACAAATATTTGACAGCATAGCCAGAGAAGATCGGATAGTTAGAACCAAACAGAATTAAAAGCTCATCGACAGAAATAATTCAATTATCATGTCTTCAATAAAGATGCTTACTTGATGCACAATTGCATAAGTATCAAGCAAAAGTAAAACCTAAGCTTAGCATTGCATGAATGGAAGATTTGGATAACTGTAAGTACCACTCAAAGTTCGGCAGTAATGAATTGATACTGTTCAATTCTCAAAAGGAAAGCAAATATCCATCAATAAGCTTCACAACATTTAGTTTGAATTCATAAGATACGAAATTCCAGTAGGAGTGTTGCAAAAAGGGTAACATCATGAACCTATTACCCCCCTTAAAAAAACAAGATCTTTCAAAAGAACTTTTGAAGTGAAGCAATAAGTGATGGAAGATGATTAATAAGACAATCATAGAATTCATGGCCGCTTCAGTTGCAAACAAAATTTATATATAAACAAAGTAAAACAAGGCATCTCTGTGTTCATACTGATGGAATATGTGCAGTCAAATTAATGACAACTGTGACAATTTTATTTTTTTTTTTATTTCCGTAGGTTATGACATCGGATTTTCTCAACAAAGTTGTCAATTTACTAAAGATGATGCAATTTAAGGATGTGTGAGGATACGCCTGCAAAAATACTTGAAGTAGAAGAAAATAAATAATTTCTCTATATCTTAAATTAACTTATAAACGAGCAATTTTGTAGAAACTTTGATCATTAGTTTATAGAGAAACTTTCTTCTTTTTTTTTATCTTCTTCTTTTCCCCTGCTGTAAGAGTTTTTGGATAAGTTTATCTACTGAGTCCTCAAGTCGTCAATAGAAAGGGCATAAATTCTTTAGCACTTATATTCAAACAAATAATTGTTTCAGAATATAGTGCAAGATGATTGATGAAAGAAAAGGACGTATAAATAGCAACAAATCTCAATTCTGATCCAATCACCTCTGTAGTTTACTAAAATTCTGCACCTTTTGAACCCCCCACCCCTCCTCCAAAAATAAAAAATCGCACCTTCCTAAAACCGTGGTTTATAAATAACTCAGCAAATTAACAGACAAAAACTGTTTTTCAAATGATACAGTATGTATGAAGTTTAGATTCTGGTGCGATTAAAACAGAAAGTTCCAAACCCATTAACTCTATTAGAAAGAGGGGCGAAAAAAGGAAACACATGAATGAAATTCAGAAGAAGAAGAGAAAAGCTTGTTGAGAAAGTCAATGCTAAGGACATACATACCTTGTGGCCATTGAGGAAGGGGTGAAGGCAGAGAGAAGGGAAGTGGATCAGGGTCAGTGAATTCAGGGACAGAGTCCCAGCATAGTAAACTCTTGCACCCAAACATCACTAAGAGAGACAAGTATTCTTCAGAGACCCCTCCCACAAAAAGAGAATGCTTTTCTTTCTTTTCTTGCCTTCAAAGGAGTCCAAGAAGAGAGAGAGAAGAAGATTGTTCAAAGAATAGCAAAGGAGAAAGCTTTAAACTTTCTCTCCTCTTCTCTCTTCTCTCCTTCTTCTTCTAGAGATTATGTTCTGCTTTAACTTTAGATTAGTTTCCAGGTTTTTGAGGTTGTCTTTTAATTTGAAAGGTCAGAGTTCGGTGTTTCTCCAAACCTGTAAATTAATTAATCCACAATGAAAGGAAAAAAAAAAGTATTTGGTTGTTACGACATAAAATATAAATAACAGACTTTGCGTAAACAATGTTCACTCGCCACCTCGTGGGTGTTCCAGACACGCTTGTGCTATGCGTTGCTTCAATATGCAATTATTAGGTTTGTTGTTGTGGATTAAGACATATTTCTCTCTTTCTTCATCTTTTCATTTATTAGCATACTCCACAAGCATATGTTAAATCTTTCTACACTACTTATGGTGTAAGGTTAGTTTAGTGTATGTATATTCCAATTTTCTCTTCCTATTTATTTATTTCACCTTCAGGGATATGTACAACAAGACAATAGACTAAAGATTAAAATAAAAATTAATTTAGAGCATAATTATAGGTTAGTTTGTTTGAGTTAGTTGAATTAATTTAAAGTATTAACCATATTTTCAATATATTAAAAATTTTATACGAAAACTAATATATTTCTACGTACTATACATGTTTTTTTTTAATAATAATTTACTCTTTCAACAATTACCATTCTGAAATGGAAATTTTGAAAACAGAAAAAGAGAAAGAGGTTTTATGTGGTTTTTCCTCGTCTTATATAATATCGATGCATGATATTCAGACTAATGATTGTATCAAGGTATTGAGTTACACTGAACAATCTTAAGCATATTTTGATAATCATTGTTTTAAATCACTTATAATCTTGGAACCTGTAAAAATCAATATTCAAATGTATAATCAAACAGGAGAGTGTCTCTTACGCGCTTAAAATGCTATTGTTTATTGCGACTAAGGAGCAAAATATGGACACTTGGATAAATATCTAGATTTTCTTTTTCTTTTATAATTTCTTTTTGCTATTTTATTTTTTAGTAAAATTTGAAAGTTGAAAAAAAAAATAAAGTTTGATCAATTTGGAATCTAATAATAGGAAGGGAGAATATTCCGTGGCAAGTAATTTGATGAGATAAGGCACTTATTTTGTATTAATCCTTTTGGGCGATATATGCAAGAAAATAAATAAATAAAATAGTACATTAGATTGTGTTTATCTATTGTGTCTTGTCATGCCAATTGCAATGTAGATGATAGTAGAAACTTAGAAGGATGCATTTAATAAAATATTGGGATAGGGTCTAGGGTTAATTATTTTATATTATAATGTTTATCCATTACCATGTGAACATTACTACATTTAATAATAATTAATAAAGCAAGTATATTATACTTGTACCACGAGTGAAAATAATATATATATATATATATATATATATATATATATATATATATATTAGTTGTACCTTTTGTAAAATGTGAAGTAGATGTAAATCGCACGTTAAAATCGTGAAAGAAAATTTTGTTCCTATCAATTTGGCTGGGTATCAATGCTCCTATTGCTCTATTTTTTTTTTTCACCAGACGATGAATTTAACAGAGGAAAATCATGACTTGGAAGTTCTTGTTAAAATTGTGAATCTAACTCTCATATAATTATTTTTCTAATACGACGTGGTAGCGGAAGGATAAATAAGTTTAAAATATTTATCTTTTAATTTATTTATTTTTATAATTCTATAGTTTTTATTTACTATTTTAATTCTTACACACTAAATAATTCCATTATATATGTTTACTACCACCTATTTATTATAAGATATATGTGGACGATTTTTTAAAGTACATACAAAAATATCTTCATAACTCCAAATTAAAGAGAGAAAATTTTTTGACTGAATTTGAGCCTTGGGAATTCATAATTCAAATATAAGAGGCTGCAGTGGCGGCATTTGACCAATGAAGAGAGCAAAATTCTGTCAGAGTCCACGTCAAACCACGATTAAATTAATTCTTCAACTTTAAATTAACAAAAAGAAGGTGTAATCACCCATTATGATTATTTTTATATTTTTATTTAGCATTCTTTCGTCCTTTTTTTATTTATTGGACACTTAATAATAAATATGGGTTTGCTTGATTTGTTTACTTTGTAGATTTGGGCTCGGGTAACTTTTGATGTTGGGAATTTCTTCCGGCACCCCATGTTTTCTTCCAGTAACAGATGTGGTGAAATAATCATTTTATTCTTAATAAAAATGTTTGAAATACATTTCCGATTATATAGTTTTTATTATTATACATTCCAAAATATATTTTTAAAAAAGTATGCATTTCGAATGGTATAATTCAAAATATATTATTGAATCCAAAAATACTCTAAATTATATAATTCTGGATATATTTGAATTAATAGTAATTTAAAATGTATTTTCAGATTTATAAATACATTCCGAATTACACACTGGGAAATTTATTATTTATTCAAATTGATACAAATGTGTTTCTTCTTATTCCTGTTTTATTCATTTCTTATGACCCTTAAACTCCGAATCTATGAAAGGAGCTTGAGTCAAATAATGTGATGTTTACAACTATATTAGCGGCTTGATATAATTTGGGAATGATTGAAATTTTAAAAAACATGGGGTGAAGGAGGAAAAATTTCCTTTTGATATGTTATTATTTGTGTTTGATTTGTGCTGTGTATATAAGAGTTATATTTGAACATTTTTTTAGTAAGAAAAATAATAAAAGGAAAAAAATGGTAAAAATAAATAATATGATAAATAAGCACATAAATTCACTTTTGGTCTTGTTAGATCCGCGAACGTAGAATTTCAATTCCTGTTAAACTTCGGTTATATATTTAATATTTAATTTCTAAAATTAAACGATTATAATTCCTTATTAATACATTATTCAGTTATTAACATAATATATTGATAAGTGTATTAATTATAACAGTAGTCGATTACTTTTTTACTTAGAATATTTATAACAATATTTATTAAAAAAAATTAATATTTGTTATTATCAAAACGCGATAGTCTTACTAATATTAGACGTATACTAATTTTTAGTTAAATTTGGTTAATGTACTATTAAATGTTTATAAAAAATAAAATAATTCATGGATAAAAAGTCGATTTAAGAAGAAAGATAATAATGGCGAAACAATGGCTGAATAATTTAACTGACTACATTAAGTAGCCGATACGGTAGATTGTATGGGTAAAGCAAGAGCATTTTAGTTCCATGTAATCGATGGTTGTTTTTCTCTGCAGTTCAAAATGTTTTTTTAGTGTTGCTCTCCTGCACTTCATCGGTCTCATTGAACCTCTCAATTTACATTTTTGCTCTTCATCTAATAAAATTTGAAAAAGTGTAATGATAATTTAATTATTTTTCAACCACCAATCATCCTTAATCCTGTACTATAACCTCTGCATGCATCCCATCTCATTTCTTCATTGTTCTATTTCTTTTTTGTTTCATTGAGTTTTGTTTGTGAGAGGTTATATCCTGGAAGGTAGCAATACATTAATGGTGGTTATCATGATCGATTGGTAGTGGTTCTTGGAAGAGAAATATGCTACAACAGATTCATTGGTTTGAAGTAATTGACGAGGTTAGTACGTAAACACTAGAACCCCTAATTGGCGTTAGAAATTTCGTTAAGAGTGCACCGGCGTTCAGGCGCCGGTTATGCAGTGCTGCTTCGACCGCCGCACTTCAAAGTTCGGCGGCTCTCAACCGAACCAAGTTCGGGTGTTATTTTTTATATATATTATGCATCCATTTTTTGGTTTGAAGTTTTGGAGTTTTGAAGAGAAGCCTGACAGTGAAACCCTTCTTATCGGTGATCTGTCCTTATATATTTCAAAGTCTTTCACCACTTTAACATTCATGTACTGGGTTTACCAGCATTCTAATCAAACAAAAACCTAAACCAAAATCAATTTTGAGATTTCCAGACCCGAAGCTGAGACTGACAAGTCTAGCCGCAGACACGTGCACGACAAGGACTGTGACCCAGTTCATGGTGTCTCAAGCCAGCTCTAGTTGAAGTCATCCTTGTCTTCCAAAGCATCACGGCAGACCCTTAAAAAAACAACAAGTTCTTCATCGCATTCGACACCGCAAGTCCCTAAACATAATCAAAGGCGCTTTATCATTAGTCAAATTACTAGATTTGAACGTTGAAGAAATGATTGTGCCACTGTAAATTAACAAGATTTAATTTGTAGCTCAAACCACGATCAATATAGATCAGATGTTAGGCAGAACTTCTGCTCAAAACACCACTTTACGTGTGACTTTTTCTTTGTCCTTGTTGTCCTTGAGACAGCAACTTCAACCATTTTATGTTGTGTTTGAGTTCCATTTTCAATAACTTTATTTAGCTTTTGAAATCTATAAACATAAATTCTTGACTGCAATCTGATAGAGCAAGGCAAAAGTGCGATTTGAAGAGGGTGAAAATCATAAAAGGAACTGATGATGAGTTGTCTGTTTCTATTTTTTTAAGTTTTGAAACATCTTTCACCAAACCAAATTTTGAGTTTTTAATAAGAAATTAAAAAAGAATAGAATTGCTTAAGATAACAATTTTAATACCAGAGGTGATAAGGAATTCAGACAAGCCCTCGATGTTATTCCTACATCTAAAATAAAAGAAAATATAACAAAATTTACTATTTGTTTTCAGTACTTTTTACGCGGATAATAATAAGTAAATTATTTCTGTTCGATTCACTATTGAAAATGTATTTCCGATTTTCCTCGAATTGACATAAATCTCTAAAAAATTATATATTTTCATACGAATAAAAAAATTCTTAAGCAGCAATAGAGAAAAAGAGAGAGTTTCAATTCTTATTAAAAAAAATTAATTAATATAACAAGAAAAGACACACCGTTCATTTTCTTCTTATTTATGTACAATAAAATAATTTTTTACTCAACTTCGATTTCATTTTACCTTTCCTATGTTTCGCTTGTTTCTCACTTATAATCCAAACAAATTAGAATATCTATAAATTACAACTCAGTAGGTGAGTAGCACTAATCATAATAGCTTAAAAAGTAAATATTGCAACAATAACCTCAATGGATTCCAACTGCAGCAGTCATCAACCGCATTTCCAACTGCAGAGCTGCTCAACCGCACTTTCAAATGCGACATACTCTAAACCAAACTTTCAACTGAGACGGGACCACAACCGCAAGTGTGGTTAAGGTCTTCACCCTTCGTCCCTGTTACAAATCCTTCGTCCCTAGGACATATCATCCACAATACAATCCCATAAATGCATCATAATTAGCACACAACACTTAACAACAACACAAACATCAACCACACTTCAACTATCATACAATCTATGAGATCTGATAAGGGAGGAGGGAAGGAGGGAAGGCAACACTCGATGAAAGAAGAAAGGAGGTGTAGGGTTTGGTATGAAATGCGGCAAGAGAGAATGAGTTTTTTAGAATGGATCAAATTAAAATAAAACAGCCAAAGATTATGCTCTTCTGACAAGGACAGTTGAAAAAATTAAAAACCAAGGAAGTGCAGAATGAGATATGTAAGGTATAGGAAGAAACACTCAATTTTTTTTTTTTTGCACTTTTAATTCAGAAAATAATCTAAGATTAGTTTTCTTTAATGATTTCGAAATTTGTTAAAAAAATTTGTTATCAATCGATTTTGAAATTTATTGAAAAAAAAGTTTCTAACAAATAGTTTTGAAATTTAACATTGAAATTCATTTAAATTTTTGGAAAAATTTTCATCCAATTTTGAAATAAATTATATTTTTAAATTTTTTTAAAATATATGAAATTCGATGAGAAAAAAAAAGAATGAATATATAAGATTTTTTGAATTGTAATAAATAGTTTTGAAATTTAAAGAAAATTAAGATATAGGAAAAAAATATTAGAGGTGTACAGAGAAATACTCTAAATTGATTTTGGATTTTAACCATACCAATCTTAACCTAATATTATATATCATGTGAAAGTTTGTTAGTATAATATTTCATGGATTATAAACACTCAAGAGAGAAGTATATATATATATATATATTCTTAACCTAATATTATATATCATGTGAAAGTTTGTTAGTATAATATTTCATGGATTATAAACACTCAAGAGAGAAGTATATATATATATATATATTTTGTTACTGTGGGCTTACAATTAATCGATCATGAATGTTAGCATATTGGTCTTAAATGACCGAATGGCCCAAGCGTAGAAAAGAATTTCATAGCGGTTCGGTTCCAACAACAGTTGAGCAGAATTAATGTGTAGTTAATGTAACAACTGCTACTATCGAGTAGTTAATGTTTGCATCGATTATCATTAAGAGATAAATTATGATCAGATTCTTATATATATATATATATATATATATATATATATATATATATCACTATGAAATTGACTCATTTATCCATTAACACGTCATAAAATACTCTTTAAATTAGTGCCGTCAAAATGGGTTGAAACTCGTGAGCCAACCCGGCTCGCCACGGATTTGAGTCGGGTTGGGTTGAAAAAAAATGTAAAATTTTTTATGCGAGCCAATTTTGACCCGGCTCACACAGGTTGAACCCTTGATGGGTCGGGTTGGCTCACCAACCCACCTAATTTTTTTTAATTAAATTAATTATTCAAATTCTATTTTTTTATTGAAATCAAATTAATTAAATTAATTATTCAAAACACACAACCTTTACTTAACAACAAAGAGTCTTTCCAAAAGTTTTACTTAGATCTTTATTTAGATGAAGGGAATCTTGATACAGTTTTTTATAAGTTGGATGTATTAAGTTATTGGAGGGATCGTCAAGATCGTTATCCAAACTTGTCTAAGATGGCTTGTGATGTTCTTAGCATTCCAATCACTACAATCTCAGAAGAAGAGAGTGAAAAAGAAGTTAATTAATGAACCAATGAGCCAACCCGTTTAACCCACCAACCCGTGGTGGGTCGGGTCGGGTTAAATTTTTTCGGCTCGCTAATAAATGAGCCGGGTTGGGTTGGCTCACTAAGTGACCAATCCGTGGTAGGTCGGTTGGGTCGGGCCGGATTATCCGTTTTAACAGCTCTACTTTAAATGCATAAAAGATAAAAATATCTTTTATTACATCTCATCTCAAATCAAAATAACTCAATAACACGTAATTTACATAAGCAGTGTACAGGACATATTTTAAGATGGCTATTTTATGACATTTAACCATTTAAAGATTAATTTAAATGTTTATGACATCTACCCCTTATATTCTTACACGCTTAATAGTCTCATTGTTTAAGAGTTGATTTTTTTATTTTTTTTGGTGGGCTTGGATCCTTAAGCCACTTCAAATATTATTATTTTTCGGTATTTTTAGAAACCTTACCAGAAATTTTACCTGTAAATATCTAGCGCTGTAAATACTAATTATGATGGTTGTTTTTTATGTTTATTCAGTGTCTTTGTGTAAGGTCTGAGGAGTCCTTGTTTGATCTGTTTTCTTCTGCATAATGACTGTATACTGTATAATCTTGAAAGTGGTGAGGGTAATAGAATGTGAGGCCCTAAGATATATACAAAATGAAGCATGGAACTCCGTAGGTGTAAGTTTCATTATAACGAAGAACGTAAATTTACATAATGGAAGTGTTGTCAGCGGAGAAAGAAAGCAGTTTGAAAACGATGAAAGGGAGGAGAGAGGAGGCTAGAAAGACAACACTCCTTCTACTTCTAAATCCAAACTATGAATGTCGTCCATTAAAACTTAAATGGATTCCTCCCACCTCCACTTTCACTTCTCGCGCGACAAGGCCATGCATCAAATATAGGATTCATCGTAGGTGAGTTCAGACGCTGGAGTGAGATGAGCCTTGCTGCCACCACTGCCATCACTGTGCCTCTTCTTTCGGCTGCCGTGACCCCCTCCACAAGTTATCGAAAACTCACAACCCATCGCCGTCCCAAAACACGAGAACAGCCCTCCATTCGACTCACCCCGTCTATGATTCTGACCTTTCCCCTTCGGAACGTTATGCTTCACCTTCTTCTCATTCTTCCCTAGGTGATCGTAAACTGCTACCCCACCACGCTCCATCGACTGCCACCTATCAATCCTCTTGTTCACCTCTTCCGCTTCTTGCTCCTTCCCCGGCCACCCTTCCAGCACCAAGTTCCCCTGCTTCCGCGGCGCCATCATCGGCAACGGGTACAGCCCCTTCGCGATTGCCGTCGCCACCACCGATGGCGAGGGCCCCACGTCCGAACACAGCGACCCGTTTAAGTTCATAATCATCCCTTTCTTCGTTGTCGGCATCCCAAGCTCAGAACCATCTTCATCACCGTCGTAACCACCCTTCGGATAACTGTTGTACGTGTAATCGTTTATGGTGGAGTCGTTCTTCTCGCTCGCGGAGCGCTGCAGCGTCAAGAGCTTGCAATTGGAACTGTTGAATTCGTTCGTCGGCGTCTGGTTCGGCTGCGGTTTCTGCTTCTTGGGGTCCGTGTCCCAGTCCCCGGTGGAGGATCCGAGTTCCGAATACATGGGCATGCTCCTCCGGGTGGGGTCAACAAGGTTGACCCCGATGTTGAGAATCCCTTGGGGGCGACCCGAGGGGCGACGAACCTGCAATGCGATGAAGCGAATCTTGGATTTGCGGTTGGTGGAACGTGGCAAGAGGTTGGAAACGAGGACGCCGACGGTGCCTATGAGAATGTCGCGGAGCCATGCGGAGGCGTAGATTTCGATCATGACGACGGAGTCTTGATCGTAGAGGAATTCTTCGTCAATGCGGAAAACGAATTTCTCGTTCCAGGTGGGGTTGTTGTGGCCATCGGGGTCTATTTGGGTTGTGAGCTTGCGTTCTGGGTCAAGCCATGCAACTGCGTAGGCTTTGATGGATTTGGCAACGGGTGCGAGGTCTTGTGCGGATATGATGTTTACTTCCAGGAGCTGGAATGGGGCAGCTAACATAGACATTGTTGGTGTGGTTGGGAATCGGAACAATTAATATATACTTGTGTTGGGGTGACGATCGATGGTGGGGGAGCTGGTTCTCCCCCAACCCCAGCGTCTAATCTCTCTCTCCGATCAACGACCGATGCCCTTCGTTCCTTCTCTTCCGATGGAATGAAAACTATTCCACCCTTTTAACCATTTATATTTGGCCGCTCACCACATCCCACGATTTTGGCTCTTGAGACACATTCCTTCTAAGCACTTCTTCCAGACATCACCCATCCTGTACTTCTCCCAACAATAGAATGTAGAAAATATATGGGCTGGAAAAAAAATAAATTTATAACTAATTACTGAAACAAATTTCTAATTTAAATTCAAAAAATCAAATAAAAAGAAAGTGAAAAATCGATTTTTATTTTTAATGAGAGAAGCTTTATTCACATTGTATCGCTCGTGAGTAAGATGTGATCCTTCAATGAGCGTCAATTTTATATTTTTCTCTCTAGAGAGTTAAATTTACTTGGCTACCATCATTGAGTTAAATTAAAAGATCTTACAATTAAGATAAATCATCTCTCAATTACATCTTAAGCAAATAAAATTAAGAGGGTCTTAGAATAGTAAATGGTCATTCAGTCATGAGTCATCATTCAACAGTTAATTCAGTGCACTTTCTCAAATACATAAAATACATTAATATAACTTTAATTGTTTTAACAACCTTTAAGAAATTATTTAAATATTAACTACATAAAAAATGATAAAATGACATAAGTTTATATTGATTTGACACATATTATAAAAATAAAATAATTATAAGAAAATATTTTTTTATATTTTTAGAAGATAAAAAATAATATCAAATAAATATAAAAATTCGGCATCTGTTAAAATATAGTTTTCTTAAACATAATAAATAATGATAGCTTCAACATTTTCAGTTGGATAAGTCAATTTCAACCATACAATTTAAATTTACTCTAAGGGTTTTTTCAGTTGACTCGTCAGAAAATCATAAATAATTGAAGTCTTGTGCTCTTTCCAACATAATTTATGTACCGATGCATCCATATGTATCTAATCTATGGTTTGGTTTACAATCCATCTCAATTACAATTAAAAATTTATTCAACTTTTTTTATCTTAAACATACCTTCCTTAATATTTGTTGTAAAGCTTAAAAGAGCAAAAACCATACAAACTTAGAAGAGCAAAAAACGGTCCTAACATTCTCTTGGAAAGCATACTTGCAAGCCAGACATATTACAATAAGTCTACAATATTAAAGATTCATATGTTAAGGGAGATCTCATACACACTCTAACAAAATTGCTCACATACAATAAAAAATTCTTATAAGAAACATTTTCTTTTTTAAAATAATAAAAATGAAATGGAAAATAATTCTTGTATATTTTAGGATTCACTTCCATCAAAATGGGATGTAGTTCACCTATTTTCCTTTTTACAACATAAATTGCCAACTTTCTTCATTATTTTTTGTTTATATATCAGAAAAACTTTCTTTGTTAGATATTCATTGTTGCGTGACGTGATTCAAGCAACTAGCAAATCAAAGATAAAATTAAGGATTAAACAAACGACTAAGCTGCCCATTGTTTGACATATTTTCACACTTTCTAATAAAATACACATGTTTTATTGTAAACACCAACAAAAATAGTTCGAGCACCACGTTAGTTACATGCCACAATTTAAAGTAAACTTGCACCAACTTCATACCAAGCAAACTTCAAATTTCTAACCTGAAATACGTAGGCATGCTCAATGCATATATAGAATAACTTGTAACACAAGGTTTAAAGTAAAATGAACCGATTGTTGCATTGTTTCTCAGTTTATTCGGTAGATAGGATTAGGAATGAAAAAACAAACCAAAATCCCAACCCCCACACCTATACATACTTTCTCCAAATCACTGTCTCAAAATCACTTCCGAAATGACCGTTTCCCACTCCACCATTCTCCTCACTCTCACTTTCTTCCTCTTCCTACCTTCTTCCAACCCACTTTCCGATTACACCACATTAGTCTACAAAACCTGTGCAACCCAAACGTTCAACAACCACCAATTATCTCTAACACTAAACTCTCTGTTCCAACAACTCATTGCACAATCGTCCCAACACAAGTTCTTCAGAACCACCGAAGCCGTTGATGATGACAGAGCCATCTCAGGCCTTTTCCAATGCAGAGATGATATCAGCAAAGAAGAATGTTTCAGCTGCGTGAACTTACTGCCTCAGATGTCAAACACCTTGTGCAGTGATTCCATATCAGCACGGGTGCAACTTGACGGTTGCTACTTTCACTACGAGACTGAGGAAACAGCCGGTGAATCTAGAAGTAACAGCTTGCTTCACAAAGAGTGTGGGAAAGCTGCTGTGGAGTATGCCGAGTTCAAAGAAGTGATGGAGGAGGCTTTTGCGACACTGGAAAGTGGGATTCTGAACAGTAATGGGTTCTACTCGATGAATTATAAATGGGTGAAAATAATGGCGCAGTGTGAAGGAGCTTTAGAGACTTGTGACTGTAGCAGTTGCGTGAACGATGCAGTGCTGGTTGGAAAGGAAGAATGTGGTAGTTCACTTTCGGCACAAATATATCTTGACAGGTGTTTCATAAGCTACGACATTTTTGGTAACTCTGTCCCAGGTAACTGTTTAACAAGAACCAAAGTCTTCTATTTTCATTACAAAATTATTAGTTATATATGAAAATTATGAATACAGGAGCAAGAAGAAATGGCAACACGGAAAGATTGGCAGCGATAATTGTTGGAGGGGCCGTTGCTGTGTTTGTGGCTTTTGCTTTAATGTCGATGCTTAAGTCTCGGTTTAGAAAAGACGAATATGAATAGAGAGTGACTTGACCTAAGTCTAACTTAAATTTATTTATAATAAGTTTAAATTTGGATTGAATAAATGTTTTCATGTGTATAATTATTTTTTTAAGTAATTTTTTTATTTTCATATTTTAATTGAATTTTTAACTTAAAAAAAAATACTTCGGAGTTGGTGTTAGTCTATGAGACTTTTCATATTTTGATCGTATAAACCTTTTCTTAAATGATTTTTCAATTTTATAAACTTTTTTAGCTTCACTCCTGCAAACTGGGTGTAAATATTGTAAAATAGATCGAATCAATAAATATAATCAATCAATTTATTAAAATTAGTTGAGTTAAGTCCCTCGTGATAATGAATTGAATACCATAGTGCGCAATCATCATGGTTGAAATAACATGTAAGTAAATTAATTCTTTAAAAAAGTGAAGATTTTTTTTAAAGTATTTTATTTTATAAAATTAATTTAAATATATAAATGTACTTTAATTTTTATTAAATATTTGTTTTTTCATTAATATTAAAGAACTTAAATTTATATTTATAAGGGGAAACAAATGAGAGAAAGCCCTCGTAAATGAGATGGGGAAAGAATATACAAAAATAAGAAATTAAATACCTTTTCTCCTATCTGTATTATAATGTAGCTCACCACCAATACACTAGCCAAAACTTCAGCTTCAAGTAATGTGCACCTTTATTTCCTTCGCCAAATTACAATGTGTATGTAAAAATTCTTCTCTCGAGCATGATAATCTTGGTGAAAAGTGTTTATAATCTGTTTAAAAATTTCAATAACATGAAATCGGTTTCATCTCATTCATAATCGATTTTTTTTTGTCAAGTCACATTATCAGTTATCTCCCCAAAACTGATTCCCAAATTGTTCCACCTCGAGCGAGATTGGGAAAATGGCGCATCTCATAAATTTACTTATTCTTTTGCCCTCAAATAGTTGAAAATGAACATGAACAATAATCAGAAATCTGTCTCACAATTTAGAACAGAAAATCCATTCAGAAATCTGTCTCACAATACAATATAACTTTTATTTCCTTACTCTCTTTTGTACTTTAAGAGTAGTAGAAAGAGGAATCCAAACACAGTGTAAATTATTTATTAATTTCTTAACTGATTTATAAATTATTAGTCTGACTACCATAAAAATAAATATTTAATAACTTATTTAAAATAATTTTACTTTGTGAATTCTTAAATTATAAATTATTAATTATTTTATCTAATTTATCATTTTTAATTTACTTAAATTTTATTATATTTATATTTCAATACTTTTAGTTTGTTTTAGTTATTGTTAGGTATTTTTTGTATTTTATTGAAATAATTAATTACTCCACGATTTTTAATATTTGCTGAGTTCTATTTTAATTTTATACAATTTAAATTAAGAAAAATAATATTACAAAATGAAATGATGTATAAAAATTACACACAATAAAAATTGTGAAAAAATTAATGTAACAGTAATTCATATTGATAAATAAAAAATAATTTTGAAAATGACTAAAACTTTTTAAACGAACTAATTTGGATAAAATAAATTATAAGAAACATAAAAGTATAGACAAATTTTAAAACATACATAGAAAAAATATATTTTTAATAAGACTTTAATTATATTAAATATTGAAAATTATAATTACGTAATAATATAATTTTATTTAAAATAATAAAAAATAATATTCATATGATAAATTTATGCAATCATGATATATTTTTTATATTTACTAATTTATTATCTAATTTAATCAAAGACTTTTAACTATTATAAACTCAGATTAATTAAAATTTTAAATTTTTAATAAATTTAAAAACTTTTAATTGAAATTTTTTATAAAATTTTATAATTTATTGGATATTAATAGAAATTATATTTTTCGATTGAGTCCTTTTTATTTCATTTTGTCTTAATTGAGTAATAATAATTAAATTGATAATATAACTGTTATCTTGTTTTCTCATCTTATCTAGTTATCTTGATGTATAATTTTATGACTTTACCGTCTTATAATCTTATAACTTTATTAAAATTATAAAATTAAACAACTAAACAACATGATGAAATAAAGTAATAACCATTTTATCCATTTAACAGTCACATAATAATTCAGTTAATAGACTGCAATTTTTTTTAAAAATTTAAAAATTTCCAAATTTATAAGGATTTGAATTTAATTAAATAATTGATTTATGAAAATTTCAAATTAGAAGCTTGACGCCAAACATATGTACTACCCTATACCACTTCCTTATTTATTTTCTTTTCACTTATTCTTATTATGCACTATACCCTAGAATTATGTAAATATTATTTTACTCTACTATCTAACCACATATTATGTTATGTTAGAATTTTATATATTATATTAGAAGGTTGACTTAATTCAAATTTGTTTAATTTATTTTGAATTCTGAATAGGCCAATTTCTATTTAAATAAATAAGAAGAAATTTGGGTTGGGCAGGGATAGCAGTGTACATGATCCTTCTTACCATACAAGTACAACAGAAAAAAAAAATACATTGAATAGCCAGAACCCAGAAGAAAAAAGAATTAAAAAAAGAAAATATTAAATTTTAGAGCCTTTTTAGCTAGAAATAAGCCGTTAGAGATTTTTAGTTACACCGAATGAATTTTTTAAAAAGTAACCTTTTACACAATTATTAATTTTATTTAAGATCAAAGAGAGATGTGTGAAGAAGTCAACAAAAGGTGGCATTTAATTAAGTTTGATTAAAGTGTTCATCTGCTTACGAAGGAATTCATCGGTACTATAAAAAAAAAGGCGAAAGAAAAACACACATCTATCTCATTTTATGATTGGGCCACGTGTCCAATGAGTGACAATTATTTGAAAACAGTGACACGTGACACGTGACATGTGACATGCCTCTACAACCAACCCATTCCACAGAGCCACTGTTTGTAGCTGCTTCCTACTTACTTTTCTAACTTCACTTTTTTTATCCACACAATATTCTTCTCTTCATAATCAGTATTTATCTTAAATATCATGATATTTGTCTATTAAAGTTGTTATTTATCATAATTTTTAGTTATATTTCAAAATATATTTTACAATGCACATATAAAAATACTATTATTAAACTTGTATATAAAATGACTATTGTATATTGAGGTTCATTATAAATCATCTGCTTCAGGCACTCTTTTTTACCAGTACAAACTCTGCACTGTGTAATAGATATAATAAATGGAGTGTTTTAAAATAATATTAGAATTTAAAATTCACTAAAACTATAGTCTTTTTAAGCTTTAGTTGATTTAAATAATTTATTAGCATTAAAAATATTCATTATATTTATATTCCATTAATATAGTTCTTTTAATGAAAACTTGGTTTTAAATGCACTGAATAACTATTTACAAAATAGTTAAATTTTGAAGACGAAGAATGAAGCTGTAATAGATAGTATCAAAAATTAAATTATATAAATATAAATACAAAAATGAACAAAAATAATATATATACTGCTATTTTCTAGATGGTAAGATGAGTTTAAAAACGTGATATTTGAGTTATCTAAATGATAATCTAAGATAAATTTGCAAATATAATACATATTTGAACGATAACATAGGTTCACAAATGTGGTATATGAATTATTTAGATAATAACATAAACCCACAAATGTGGCATCTAAGTTATCTAAACGGTAATATAAGTTAAACCCACAAACCCAACATTCGTGAAAGATAATATAAGTTAAGCTCACTTAGACAATATTTTAGCTTACTTAAATCATAGCATAAAAAAACATGTTTAGATGATACCCCAAGTTTGTTTAAGTTGGCATAACACATAAATTTTGCCTAAATCAATGACAAAAGCTTGTTTAGATAAACAAATTCAGATCTTGCCCAAGTAAATAATTCAAAGTATTAAAAACAACATTCATGGTCGAAGACGACCATCCACAACTCGACCAAATGACCAATCTATCTATAAAGTGAAAAATCACCACAAACTGTTCGACCAAACAGCCCATCCAGTTGTAAACAAAAAGTTGGCCAAAACTTGACCAAATGGTTAGTTACAATTGCAACAAGCATTCTCTTTACGATAATCAAACTTCCAAACTTAGAGACTTATGTACATCAAACAAATATGTCAAGTGATACAGTATAACAAGGTCCATAATATATTTACTGACCTAAAGTGGTTGGAAGATATTTCAAGATATATTTGTTGGTGCAAATATTCATATATTAACAATATATGTGACCAAATCTCAATAGTTTAATTACATTATGATATTTTTTAATACCATATATTTACAAAATATTTGATGTGTTAAGTAAAGTATTATGATTATTATATTAATTATCATATATATCTTAAGTTGTTATTGTATTGATATTGTTTGATATTAACTTCAATATTATCTATTTTATCACATAGGCATAAGACTCAAAAATCCTATAAATGCACATAATATTTTATTATAAAATATTTACAATTATCTTATATTATTTTTTTTTCAAAAAATATAAATTTTTTTCTTGATTTGAGCGTTAAAAAATATTTTATAAATGAATAATTCTTGTCTGTTTAGTAACTAAGAATCATAAAAGGTCATTAGAATTTTTACCACATGTTCAAATACTCACTTCTAGTCTCCGATGACTATGTACAATAATTTAATTTAAATTTAAAATATTTCTTTTTATAAAAAAGTGTAAAGTGGTTGGAATTTTTTTAAAATATTCATCGAAGCAAACTTCAGAATAATTTTTAATAATCATTAATGTGGCCTCTATGAATTGTTGTATTAGACGTGTCCTAAATATCTTAAATTAAAAGAATATTTAATATTAGAAATAGATGAAAGTTTACTGTTACTTTTTATTATTGTGTAATGATTTGCTATACTATTTATTTAATAGTTTTGTACTCTCTCTGTTTGTTCGTAATAGTCATTTAATTTTTTTCACAATTTTTTTTAATCTCTAGTATAATTTTAAGTTAATT